TGAGTTTCCAGAATGCATCTCCAGGCCTTTCATCCTAGGCCCCTGTGGACTCAAACCGCCAACCTTTCAGTCAGCAGTGAAGTCTGTTCACCTATCACACCCCCAGGGTGCCTCGTGCCCTCTGTTGTTGTTGTTGTTGTGTGCTGTGGAGTCGGTTCCGACTCATCGTGCCCCCTACAGGGGATTAATCTCTTCCCTGGCCCTTGCCCTTGCCTGTCCCTCCTACTGCCGAGGGCACAGGTGCCGGAAGTTCCACGCCTGTGTTTCCTCCAAACGTCAAGGCCACCCAGTTAGAATTGGATCCTGAAATCTCCTCTGGGGTCTACAGGTGTCCAAGGGAGAAAGGACCCAAAGCAGGCCCCTCAGGCCCCCACGCCCTTCTCAGGATCCCGTCTGGCGGGCCCCACGCACCGGATGGTCCCGGCCAGCAGGGGGTTGAAGGCGTACAGCCAGTCGTGCATGTCCTTGTCGTTGTTGGCCTGCAGTAGAATCCCTCGGTGCTCCGTGCACACGGCGAACGTGTTGGGCGTCTGTGAGGAGGGGTTGATGAGACCCGTGGGCCCGGCAGGAAACTCCGGGATGACGGCTTCACTGGTACTGGCACCAGGGGACCTGACAGCGGAGCCCCTCCCGGGCATGGGGTCCCTTCCCTGGACAATGACCTGGAGGCCAACAGTGCAGCTGACTCCACACCTCCCCGGCCCCCCGCCCCCGTGGACACAGAGAATCAGAGCTCCTGTGAGTCTCCCTAAGCCCGGGAGCACCTTCCCTGCAGCTGTATCTGGATCTGGTGCGGAGCGAGGCTGGGCCGACCCCGGTCCCCAGCCGCCTCACCCTGAGCCCCAGGGTGGGCAGACATCAAGGACAGTGGGGTCCTGACCGTCATGCTCACCTTGAGCATGGCCTGCTGGTCCTCGCTGTACTCCACCTGGGCGGTGGACAGGTTGAGCACGAATCTCTCCACACTGTCTTTGTCATTGTTATACATGTAGGCATAGGGGCGTCGTACCACCACGAAGCGCTTGGCCCAGCCGGCCGTGTGTGGCTCCAGGAAGCGGAGGTAACCCTTCTTAGAGACGATGGGACTGTGGAGGGGGAGGGCAGTTAATGGGGACCCCAACTGGGGTAGCCCTGAGGAAACAGGGACCCCAGCAGACTGTGCCTCGGGCCAGGAGCAGAACCACCAGACAGCTGCCAGCCCCTCATATCCCAACTGTGAAGTCGGCTGCAGCCAGAGATGGAACATCAAAGCTGACCTCCTGTTGAGCTGCCCACTAGGTCTCCTGGCTAGGACTCATCCCTGCTGGCCACCCTGGCCCTTGGGCACAGAGCCCGCTGGGGCAGGTCCAGGTGGGGGCCCCACCTACCTGACCCTGATCTCCTGGATCTCCGGCACCAGCAGGCGCTGTGGCTCCTTGACCACCTCAGTGGCCTGGCCGGGGGATGGGGACTTCTTGGTGTCCAACTCAAGCAGGGGCTCAGGCTCAGGGCTGGCTGGCCGGGAGCAGGGCTGTGGGGTCCTGGAAGCAAAAGCACCCAGGCATCCATCAGAGGGACCTCTCTAGGCCAGGCCAGTGTACCTCAGGCCCCAGGAGAGCCCCACCCCTGCAGCAGGGCAGCTGAGCTGAGGGTGTCCAGTCCCCAGGACACTGGGGAGGGCTCCCCCACTGAGCCCAGCTGCTGACTGAGGGGCAGAGCTGGCAGCCACCTAGTACATGGACCCAGCCTCATCCCATCCTCAAGACCAGCTGAAAAGGTACAGAGGTCATGTGCTCAGTCAGGTGACTGGATTTGGGGGTGGAGCTGGGGTGGGCATGCCTGCACCTCTTTCTGTCACTCAAAAAAATCTGGAAACCTCGGAGGCACTTTGATACCATCACAGAAATCCCCATCTTCTGAATCAACAGACAACCTTTGCTTCGATTCCAGGTTACAACAGCCAAGCTGGCTTTCCAAAAATGCGGCTTGTAGAGCCTCAGAGTTTAATCTAGGAATGCTGATGGTGCAGTGGGGTAAACACTGGGCTGCTAACTACAAGGTGAGTAGTTCAAACCCACCAGCGGCTCCTTGGGAGAAAGATGAGGCATCTGCTCCCATCAAGCCAGTACCGGAAACCATGGAGAGCAGTTCTCTGTCCCTCAGGACCTCCGCTAAAAGTTGGGACCCACCGGAGGGAGGGCAGCGGGTGTGGATTGGGGGTGGGGTGGGCTTGTCCACACGAGCATTTTCAGTGGCTTCTGGAAAGTAAGTGGCTCAGGGCAGTGGAGCGAGAATGTGTGGTCATCACAGACCTGCTTACTCACCTTAGGTCTGTGCTGTAACGCCCCTCAACCAGAGAGGGACAGGTGGAGGATGGCGTGAGGGTGACCGTCCCGATAGGGGACATGGAAGGGTCCCGCAGCAGGGTGACAGACATCTCAGAGAGCTGTGGGGAGGAGAGAGAGGGCCTTCCATGGGGGCCTGTCCAGTCCACCGCCCGAGGGGATGCTCCCCATCCTGCTCCACCCACCTTGCTCTCGCTGGCGCTGATGCACACGTGACTGTGGGTGTACTCTCTGTTGAACGTGTGTGTGAGGAGCCGTAAGCACTGCCGGGAAGGGAGCGGCACCCTCAGGACCCGAGGCCCAGCAGGCGGCCAGGGGCCCTGAGGGCAGAAGGGTGAAAGGGCAGGCTCCCCCAGGGGGCAGAAGGAGCCGGGGAATCCTCAGGGTCAGGCTGGGTGAAACTCTGGACAGGTGGTGAGCTCCCCATCCACAGGGATATGCAAAGAGGGCAGCTCACAGCTGGGAGAGAAGGTTGTCAGGAGCTTCCAGGACAGGTTTGGAAGGGTGAGCAATGGGACCCTGTAAGTCCCCAGAACAGAGGCCCAGCACCCACCATGCTGCCCCCCCCCAGCCCAGCCCACCTTGACAGCCAGCTCTCGCTGCCTCTCGTTGGGGGTCTCTGGGGGTGGTGGCCGGCCCTCGGCAGAGAGAGGGGAGGAGGCTCCAGAGGAGATGCGGGATTCAGAGTCATCGCTGGAGGCCGGGGACAGTGGCTCGGGGCCGGGCCGCTGGGTAGCCTCCAGTTTCTCCCGAAGGAGCAGGTAGTGCCTGGTCTTCTCCACCTTGGGGCGGGGGGTAGACAGCCTCACCTGTGGCCCAGCACTCTGGGGGCTCCTCCCCATCACCCTTCCTGAGGGACCTCCAGACCCCAGGCACAGCCCCACCCGCAAAGACATTCAGTGCTTCATCAGCTCTGTCCTCAGGAAGACCCTGGTGCTGCCCCAACCCCAAACCCAACCTCCTGCAGCAGGCTGGTGGTCCACAGTGATCCCGTCCCCCCGCCCTCCCTGGACAGTCCCCACCTCCTGCAGCAGGCTGGTGGTCCACAGTGAGACCGTCCCCCCACCCTCCCCGGACACTGCCCCCACCTCCTGCAGCAGGCTGAGCTTCTCCAGTTCCCACTGATGATCCACGATGAGGCTGTCACTTCTCGGCCTCCAGCCCGCCAGGTTCTCCTCACCACGCACATAGGCCACCGATGTGTCCAGTACTCGCCTGCGGCGTCGCTGCATCCCTGGGGGGTGACCATGTCCAGGGCGAATGGAGTCGGGGGGCATCTGAGCACAGCTCAGGGTGCTGTGGGCCCCGTCTGCCCAGCCTCACCCAAAGTCTGAACATTGTTCTGCAGGTGATCCTGAGGGCATCAGGTGGCAGTTGAGCTGGACCCCTGTCCCTCACTGGGCCCTGATGTTTGGGGGCTCTGCAGAAACTGGCCAGTCTGACCCCCACCCCCTTTCACCTTCCTAGAGTTTCCAGGACTACGTGTACGCACACACAAGGCAGACGAGGCCACTGATAGGAACCGATACCCCACAAAGTGACCCCTACCTGGGCTGCCTGCGTCGGCCACGTGGCTCAGGCTAAGCTCATACACGCCCGTCACACGGTTGCTGTGGGGAATAAAAGGCCAACATCACCCTCACAAGCCAAAGGCACAGGTGGGGTCATGCTGTACTGACCCCTGGCGGCTGGGATGGACAGGCTGGAGTTCCTGACAGCGGGCTCCCCACCCCCCACTGCTGGGACCTTGGATCCATCTGGCCCTCCCACCCACCTGGCCGCTCACCTCTCTGAGGCCCGCAGGCTTCCGCTGCCGAACAGGTTACGGATGGAGCGGGACGCAGGCAGCTTGGCATCCCGGGAGTAGAAGACCATGCAAAAGTCCTTAGTGACCACAGCCGGCTGAGTGCAGTTCTCCATCTGGGGGACGGGGCAGGCTCAGCACAGGACCTCAAACCCCCTCCCCAGGACTCAAACCCAGTGCCATGGGCTCAATCCTGACTGAGACCGTGGAGAACGGCTCCATGGGATTTGGGGGCCGTAAATCTTAGCAGGAGCAGACGGCTTCATCTCTCTTCCTCGGAGCAGCTGGCAGATTACCGGCTGCATGGCCTTGCAGTTCGCAAGGCCCAATGCCTAACCCACTGCGCCACCAGACTAGGCAAAGTGCCCTCCTCCTGCTGACCCAGCAAGTGTGTACTAAAGTTCTGCTGTCTGCCAGGGTGCCCAGCATGGAGTGTCTGGCATCAGCCCCAGAGCTGGTAAGGAGGGACCAGGTCCTATGTGGGCACAGACCCCAGGCACCCTGGAGGCCCACCCCCAGCACTGAGTGGTTTCCCCTACTCTCCTGACATTCACAACAATTGCAACCACCCCACTGTCCCAGGGGTGCTTACGCACTGCCCACAGATGACCTACCAGCACAAGTGGCACCCCTCAAGGATTCCTGCTCCACCGTTCTGTGGGATGCTCACCCCAGGTCCCCTACCCCTCACCACTGCTATGCTAGAAATGCCCATGTTGCCAGCCTTCAATGTTGAAAAGGGAGGCCACCACCCAGCACTGGGCCACTGACTCTGTGGGTGGGAACTCTTCAGCTTTTGAACTGTCTGGAACTGAGATGCAATGTTCGGAGGTGCTGCAGCCACTTTGCAACCCTGTGGACAGACCCCACACCTAAACCTAGAGGAGTGTGTTAGAGCTGCTGCTACAGACACGTGGATTTAACATGAAGCCTGGGGCTGTCCAGAGCCAACCAAGTCAAAAACCTGTGACTGTGGACCCAATAGGACCGGGCAGAGCTGTCCCATCGAACTTCTAAGCTGCCATCTTCCTTAGAAGGGAGGACAGCGAGACTTGTCTCTCATACTGTGGACATGTTGTCAGCATGGACCAGTCCCTGGAGAAGGACATGGTGCTTGGTAAAGTGGCGGGTCAGTGATAAAGTGGAAGACCCCAGTGAGCTGGATGGGTTCAAACACACCAACACCACAACAATTGTGAGGACGGTGCAGGACCGGGCAGTGTTTGAGCCTGTTGTCCATGGGTCACGGGAGTGGAAACGGGCTCAGCGGCACCTAACAACAACAACAATCTTTACGGTAGTCCTGGTTAAATGCTTAACTGCTAACCAAAAGGTTGCAGCCTCAGGAGCCAGAATCTGCTCAAGGGCAGTGGGTAGAACCGGATGTTTACAGAAGCAGATGGTCAGCTCTTCTCTGCAGTGGAGGACTGAGTGCTTAATAGCTGTGACACCAGGGTCCTTTCATGGCTCCCAAGCAGCCTAGTGTCCCTGTGTGAGCACCCCAGGCTGGACATGGGTTTCTTGCCTCAATGTAGGCAGAGAGAGTCATGTAGATCTTCTCCCGATATGGGGTGACCCTGTTCAGCAGGAGGGAGTTGTGCATGGAGCTATCCCACGCAGCCTCGAACTGGTAGAAGGTCCTGGAATGGGGCAGAGATGAGAGAAAAGATAACTGTCTGCAGGTTGCTCTCAGCTGGGAGGAGGCATGCAGACAGACAGGCAGACAGACAGACAGAGATACATGGGCCACCCACAAAGGAACCTAGGGAGGCTGACACCCTCCTTACTCAGGGCCCAGGGTGCTGAGAGGGCCTCCCAGCTCCACCTGAGGGGGTGGGCATGTGGGCACCTACAGCCCCCTTGCTGAGGCTAGGAGGGCAGAGACGGATGGCCTGAAGCAGGGAAGGGACTGGCTAGTCTAAGGCCAGTCCAGTCTTGGTCTGAGTAAGGAGGTTTCTTCTTCCCTTGGATCTGCAGGGACCAGGTGTGGGCTGGCAGAGACCCTCCAAAGCCCAGCCCTGCTGTCCAGTGTGGACTAAGCCCTCCTGGGGGAGGACGCTGTGAGTGGAAACCAGGGAGGACTCTTTTCTCTGTCTCTGACCTTCCGCCCAGAAGGTCAAGAGCCAGCAGACCCCTCCCTCAGGCCCTGGGTCAGGCTCGGTGCCCCCTCCTGGGGACACTGTGTCTCTCATGAGACAGTTCTAGTCCCAGGGGCCAGTAGAAACAGCTGTTGCGGAGCTGATTCAGGCTCATGGTTGCCTGTTTGTGCGTCAGTTAGAACTGGTCTCCAGAACATTTTGTATGGCTGGTTTTTGTAGTGAGGTTGGCCCAGGATGGGGCAGTGTTTTGTTCTGCTGTGCATCGGGTCACTATGAGTAGGTACTGACTGGATGGCACCTAACAACAAGGCACATCTGGGGGGACTCGAACCTCCAACCTTCTGGTTAGCAGCGAGTCCTGCCTCAGGCCGGTGCTCACCCCAGTGTCGCTGTTGTAAGGTTCAGAATTTGCCTCTCCCTGCCTCCCCAGTTCCCATCAAAACGTCCTCACAGACATTCAGAAACACCTCAAGGCCAACACTGAGGACGGCAGCTCCACGCCAACAGGGCCAGGGGCTCCCAGGCCAGGGCACCCTGGTGGGGCCAGCTCCCCAGGCATGACCGTGTTGGGGCAGACAGCACCACACTGAAGTCTACTCCACAGCCAGTCCAGGGACACAGGGAGACAGAGTGCTCGGAGGGGTAGGGCAGGGCCGCTATTACACGCATCACCTGGGACAGAGCCCCAGAGGAGAGGGAAGACAGCGGGGGCCAGACAGGGCAGGGGTCATCGAGGAGAGGGAACGATCTAAGAAGCAGAAGAGGACAGACCAAGCAAGGGCGGAAGAGAAAAGTGGGGTGTACCTAGTGTCATTTCCGAGTGACACGCTAAAGCGGCAGCAGCCCGGCACACACAGGACACACACAGAAGAAATGAGAATGTCAGAACAGTGCCCAGCATGTGGGGCGTGCGCATGTGCTCCCCCACCACTCGCGTGGATGCTGACCGTCGCCCTTGGTGCAGCCCAGTCACCCCCTCACCAGCTGTCTGCAGGAGACCCACCACTGAGGCCTGGGAGTGGGAGCACCTCTCTGCAGGAACAGGGCCTGCCGGGCCCCAGGCCACATGTACTGTGTAACCGCACAGTCAAAGGGCAGGGGTGGGCACACAACATCTCTGGGTCCCTGCTGGTGCACGGCGCCATGATGTGCCTCTAGGTGGGGGTGTTGGTGACAGAAGACTAGAACCATGTCCCTAACAATGCTGATTATCTATCACCTCCCCTGTTTGTCCTGTGTGTGTGGCCTTGATTGGTCAGGTCTCTGAGTTTACTCACACAATGTCATAATTACCCCATGTCTGAGGACCCTGCCACTTAGCTCTCAATGCATCGGGCTAGCTTGGTCTCCATGCCCGAGGACCCTGTCACTTAGCTCTCAATGCACCAGCTAGCTTGGTCTCCATGCCCAAGGACCCTGCCACTTAGCTCTCAATGCATCGGGC